GCCCTTTGAAAGATGGTTTCAGGCACCCATCCATCCCCACCCTGGCATAGCTTTTTAAGTTTTTCCAAGGCGGCTGTGTTGCCATTATCCCTGAAGGAAATTGATTGTGGAAATGTTTGGGCCTTTGGGCAAAAAGCTGGTGTTGCATCTTGACCGCCTTGCTTATTCTGTGTAGGCACACCGGCACCCCCCTTTCACTCTCATGCATGCAAATGACAGGGAGAATCTTCAAATGCAGTTGTAGGCCAGCAATCAATTGACATCTGTTCAAAAGTTTTAATGTTTTCCTGGTTGTTCCTTAGATGAACTTGGCATATCAAATTTGGGTGCTGCCACTGTCTGTGAGAATAGAAAATAGACTGGGCACAGTGGCTCACCACCTGTAATCCCAGCATTTGGAGGCACGAGGATGGCGGATAACCTGAGCTCAGGAGTTTGAGGACCAGCTTGGGCAACATGCGAAACCCCATCTCTACAAAAAAAAAAAAAAAAAATCCCTTATTTCTACCAAAAAATAAATAAAAAATTAGCCGGGAGTGGTCTCAGCTACTTGGGAGGCTGAGGGGATGGAGATCACTGCGAGCCCAGGAGGCGGAGGTTGCAGTGAATAGTGATCATGCCACTGTACTCCAGTTTGCGTGACAGAGTGAGAGCCTGTCTCGAGAAAATAGTTCTGTGCTCTCTCAAGGCCATTTGAGAATTCTAACTACCAGTAAGACATAGACAGGTACATGAGTTCTAGGCCAGTTGATGAAAATTCCAAACGTAGACATTGAGTTTTTTTCCTGCATTTCTGAGGGGTGGACTGATCTTTGGCATCCAGTGTTAGATCTGTAGCGTTGGTTTACAAAACTGTCAACTTTGGTGTTAGTGAAATGAGTTACCTTGTGGTAACTGCCATTGTGGTTTGTACTTCTTTGAGCGGGTTCTCAGAAAGATTGGAATTGGTTTTGTTGTGGTTTACGTGATGGATTCTTGAGACATACTGGCAGCCATAAACCAAAGCTAAAGAACAGGTATAAATTGATAACCTTACCGTGAACTAGGATCACTTGGGGAGCTTTTTGAAAAGCCTAAGAGTTTGAATTTTTTAAAAGCTCCCCAGTTGATCCTGACTGGGAACCACTCATTCATGGACTTCTCTTTTCAAGGGAACTTGGGTACTCCAAGAAGAAAATGTTGGGTGGATTTGGCTTTCTTGCCCTCTCTGAACAGCTGTGCCATGGATTCGTCCTGGAGATCAGGCCAAATCCAAACTTTCTGAAGAAATCAGTGTGTTGCCCCTTTAGGTAGGCCAGTGTTTCTGCCTTTGTCTCCTAGTGAATTCATGCTGGGAGTTCAGATCTTGGTGTGTGGCTGCTGAAACAGCTTTTTTGTGGTAGGCTCTGTATTCAATGCTCCACTTACCAGCACAGATGAAATTTTCATCAGATGCAGGGGAGGGCGGGATTAAAGCTATGGGTAATGACACAGGATAGGTTGCTAATTTTCTTGTGGTTTGTCTTGCCTTTGTTCCACGTTGACCAGGAGTTCGTCTGAGATTCCAGAGATGCCAAATACGAGGTGTGGCGTGAAATTAGCTGCTACGTCTAACAGATTAGGAAGAGGAAAAGGCATATAACATTATACGGTTTTTTGCCTTTGGAAGCAGAATTTAATGGTCATTGGCTGCTCTGCCACCAACCCTCACACTAAGCACAATACAGATTTCTGCCGCAGAGCAAATTGGGCTGTAGCTTTGCAAAGAAGCTTAGTTCAGGGCACTGGAGAATTACATTTTTTGGTCCAAGGGCTTTTTCTGATGAATTGGAGAAGAGCTAGGTATTTGTGTATAAACGTTTAGTTGACTGCTGTTTGGAGGCAGCATGCTGTATAGAGAATGTGAAAGTCTAGATTCCATGTAAACTCCAACATCAGCTGGGAGATGACCAAATTTGTTGTCTTCATGCTTCCCTTTTTCCCCTATCTGTAAAATGGGTGAATGTTGACTGTCTTGTTCCTGTCCTTATAAGAATAGATTGTTGAGAAGAAATCTAGATGGAATAGTTTGTGCTTTTTAGAAGATAAGTAATAAGACTGAGCTGGTAAATTTTTTAATGCTTAGGATTTGGTGCTGCTTGTGAGCTTTTCCACAGCTTACTATGTGCCAGTCTTGCTGGCAGCCTCGCAGCTGTGAGAAACTTGGTGAGTCTGGCCAGGGTAGTTGTGATTTCTGTGGATCTGCACCTCCTAAGTCCGCAATAGTGGGAGGATGAGGTTGGATTTTTAGCTTTTCTCTTGTTTTGATTGGTAGGACCTGGAAGTGGTGAGAAATTTCAGTCTTTTGCCAAAGGGTATATGTCTTTGTCCTCATTGTTGATTGGAGTTAATTATGGGCTTCTACAGTCTTTGCTGTACAATTTGGGACTTTTACAGTAACCTCTGGGCATAATTCCCTTTGCTATTCTCAACATCTGCCTTCCTACAATCATTTTAGAAGGTTTAACAATTCCCACATTTTAGCACTAAGCAAAACTTCCTTTTAGTTGCTTTTGAGTCTAGTAAGTGGACCTACATGGATATATTGTCTTCAGTGTAGTATGAGTTAGTTTAGAGATTTGTTTTTGTTTTGTTTTTTGTTTTGAGGTGGAGTCTTGCTCTGTGGCCCAGGCTGGAGTGCAGTGGTGCAATCTTGGCTTACTGCAACCTCCGCCTCTTGGGTTCAAGCGATTCTGCTGCGTCAGCCTCTCCAGTGGCTGGGATTATAGGGGCACACCATCATGCCCGGCTAATTTTTTAATTTTTAATTTTTAGTAGAGCTGGAGTTTTGCCATGTTGGCCAGACTGGTCCCGAACTCCTGACCTCAGGTGATCTGCCTGCCTTGGCCTCTCAAAATGCTGGGATTACAGGCATGAGCCACCACCCCCGGGCCAACTTAGATAACTCTTTTTAAGCGAGGTAAGAAATGGGTTCACCAATTGGGTGTGGTAGTGCGCACCTGTAGTCCCAATACTTGGAAGGCAGAGGCAGGAGGGTTACTTGAGCCCAGGAGTTTAAGGGCACAGTGAGCTATGATGTGCCACTGCACTCCAGCCTGGGCAACAGAGCCAGACTCCATCTCTCTTTTTTTTTTTTTTTTTTTTGGGAGACGTAGTCTCGCTCTGTCGTCCGTGCTGGAGCGCAGTGGCCCAATCTTGGCTCACTACAACCTCCGCCTCTCAGGTTCAAGCAATTCTTCTGCCTCATCCTCCCGAGTAGCTGGGACTACAGATGCATGCCACCACGCCTGGCTAATTTTTTGCATTTTAGTAGAGACTGCATTTCACCGTGTTGCCCAGGCTGGTCTCGAACTCCTGAGCTCAGGCAGTCTGCCCACCTCAGCCTCCCAAAGTGCTGGGATTACAGGCTAGAGCCACCGCGCCCGGCTGACTCCATCTCTTTAAAAAAGAAAGAAAGAAAGAAATGGGCCCAGCAACTAATCAGGTTTCTGTTCTGGGGAACTGGGCTAGGGCTTATAACACACATATGTTGGAATTCAAAGAGCTGGGCTTGATGCCTGTGGTCCTCAGTGTAATCTAGCATTGCTATTTCAGGAAAACCAGTGGAGTTCCCATGTCTGTTTCTCATATGTTGAACTGATTGCCTTCCTTTGGATTTGGTGAGAGATCTAATTTGATCTGACCATTTTGAATCATCATGTAATACACACTTGGTTGGAAATAGGTACCTTGTTCACTTTTCAAGATTAGTTTTTTACCAAGTTAACAAATGAGGCTATTACTGGCCATCTTCATGGTAGTGAGGTGGAGAAATGGAGGACGGTTCTGTAGTGGTTTCCTATCTATGTATTTGGTGGGGGATGGAAAGATAGAATTCTGGAAAGAGAGGCAGGCTGCTTTGGCATCCATTTGGGACCCTGCTGTCGTGGACAGACCTGGCAGACGTGAGAAACCTTTTTCACTGTATCCTTGGGTCTTCAGGTCTAAAGGGGTCTTTTTGAGTAATAGCATGACATGCTGAGAGCAAAATGATTTTATGGTGTGTTGAGGAAGTTCTGATTTTATGTTTGGGTTTCGGGTCCACACAATGTTGATCTTTTTAACTGTTTTTTCCATGAAGTGGTTGCGGTTGGCAGCTCTCTTTTAGAATGAACTCCTGGGCTTAAAAAAAATCTCTGTCCATTTGAGTCCCGTGCTGTGCTTCTTACTCCTTAACATTCTCTCTGCCAACATCATTTCTAAGGTTTTAGACCTTGGACCGTGCCTCTTGGCTTTTCCCTGGAAGTTCCCTCTATAGGTTCTTTAGTGGGTTTATGATGGAGTTTTGGATCTGACCTTGCTGCACAGATGTCTGTGTATTGGAACTAAAAATGAACACATGGTTTTTGTGCCTGTAGCACATGAACAGACACTGGCTTATGACGTGTTGGAAATGGCACAGGCTGGCTGTCTTGGCACTGTGTGCTTTAGCAGGGGCAGAGGTACATTGGAGCCGTAAAATCTGGTATTTGGACATCCTAATTTGGAAGTTACTTTAGAAAAGGACGTGTAAGTCTTAGGGCATCAGTACAGGGCACTTATGGGCAAATAGGTTATTATTATTTCACTGTTTTTATTTTAGGTTTCAAGGAATTTGAAAACCGGCCAATGGTTATGTCTATGTGTTGTTGTTCTGTCTAATCTAATGCTTTTAACTCCTTTATCCCATAAATCTGTTGTAGTACAGTTAATAATTTGCAGGGTAGAAATGGACAGAGGCATCCTGTTTTTTTGTTACCTACAGCATAGGCAGTAACTTAGCTGACACAAAGGACTGCTAGTCTCAAAGACCTTTGCCTGAGGCCTTCTGCCCTGTCCTTTTATGTCACCTGAAGCACAGCCCACCAAATGCTGTTTTATCCCACCCTACTCCTCCAGTCTTTGTTGCTGCTAAGATGAAAGTGGCCTACTGGCAAAGTTACAGGGGTATAACTTTGCACCCTAATGCTTGTTGAGGTGATCTGGGGAAGAATAAATAGCATGGGAATGTAGTATAGAGGGTTAGTTTAAAATATTATCTGAAATTCCATTATATTGCTCTCCAAAATATAGTGTGTCAGCTTAGAATGGCCTTTTATCATTCCAGATGGTTCATGTGTACAAAAGGGGATGTGTAAAGTGTATGTCTTTTAATAATAATAAAATACAAGCATAGGTACCTTCACTAAACTTAACAAATAGAATGTTATCAGTACCTTTGAAGAGTGTTGCTTTCTAATTACATCTTATCCCTCCCCCTGGTAACCACCATCCTCAATTTTATGTTAATCAGTACCTTGCTTTGTTTTTTTTTTTTTTTTTAATAGTCATATAGATTGGTTGTTTCATAAATGACTGCCATTAGAATGCTCTCAGGACGCTTGAGACAGATACTGCTTTGGGTTTGTAGTTAGGCTTGTCTTCCCAAAGAGAGAAAGAAGCATGCCTATTTATTAGTAGCCTTTTAGCCTCCTAGACTTTAGACCTTTTACTTTCCAAGCATCCAGCTATGAAGCCCCCTTATTTGCCAGGAAAAACCATTCTGGCACTCTCGAACAGCTCTCCCTGGATTCAGATGTTTTTCTTTTTCTAGATCCTAGAAACTATGATTTTTCTTCTTCAAAATGCCGGGGGTGGGGGAGAAGATGAGCTGAAGTGAGAAGGCCTCCGCAAGATGTGTGCATTTGGGTCCTGCCGTTCTTCAGTGCTTGGCACTGAAGAGACTCGTCCCCAGCATGGGCAGATGGCAGAGTAATGCAGCTTCCTTTGAAAAGAGGCAAACGGCCAAATGGCTGAGGTGTGAACCTTTTGAAAGGCCAGTGCTTTAGGTTTCTACTTGCTGGGTTTAATGTTGTACCCACAAGTTATCAAATAAAAATCAGCTTGGAAGCTCTTCAGCAGTCCTAAAGTTCATGTCCAGTGGAATTAACATTGCATTCCAGTCCTCTGGATTGTTGGAACTAAGCTGCAGTCATGAGCCACTTTTATGAGCAAAGCAACTGTGTGGCCGTATCTTATTTTTATGTAGCCACCTCTCCTGTGGGTGCTGTGGGTGGAATATTCTTAGTGAGCGTGATCATCAGACCCCTCAAGTACGGAAGAGGTTGCCAAGGGAATGTAAAGCTAGGTCAAGAGAAAGACGGACCAGGGTTTCAGCTCTTTCTGAATAAGATCTTCATGGTATGGTTTTAGAATTTTGTTTGAAGTGAATTCTGAGAAGCTCAGACATCGATGTTAAAACATAAATGCATAAACATCTTCTGAAATCAAATAATTTAAAATAGAATTTCATTTTGGATTTTCTTTGCTTTTGCCCCTCTTTATTGGTGCAATTTATAGTTGAAAAGAGTTTAAGTTCTATTTAGACCTTTGGGTAAGAGTATTTTTGGAAGGTGAGCCAGCTACAATGCTAGGAGACAGACACTTAATTCTGGGGTAGGATTTTCTTTAAGTCTGTTTTATTGTTAACAATAAAAAATAAAAATAAAAAATAAATAAATATTTATTATTTATTTATTTATTTATTTATTTTTGAGACAGAGTCTCACTCTGTCACCCAGGCTGGAATGCAGCAGCTCAATCATGACTCACTGCAGCCTTGACCTTCCCAGGTTCAGGTGATCCTCCCACCTCACACTCCTGAGTAACTGGGACTAGAGGTGTACACCACCACGCCCCCCTAATTTTTGTATTTTTTGTAGAGACAAAGTTTCACCATGTTGCCCAGGCTGGTCACAAATTCCTGGGCTCAAGCATTCTGCCCACCTCAGCCTCCCAAAGTGTTGGGATTACAGATGTGAGCCATCACACCGGGCCTGAGGTATAATTTATATATTGCAAAATTTACCCTTTTAAGTGTCCAACTCTATTCATTTTGACAAATTTATATATAGTCATCATAATCTCTACCATAATCAGCATATAGCATATTTCCTTTTTTTTTTTTTTTGAGATGGAGTCTCACTCTGTCACCCAGGCTGAAGTGCAGTGGCGTGATCTTGGTTCACTGCAACCTTCACCTCCCGGGCTCAAGCAGTTCTCGTACCTCAGCCTCCTGAGTAGCTGGGATTACAGGTGCACGCCACCACACCCAGCTAATTTTTGTATTTTTAGTAGAGACGGGGTTTTTCACCATGTTGGCCAGGCTGGTCTCGAACTCCTGACCTTGTGATTTGCCTACCTCGACCTCCCAAAGTGCTGGGATTACAGGTGTGAGCCACCGTGCCCAGCCAGCATATAGCATATTTCTTATTTTTATTTTTTATTTTTATTTTTATTTTTTGAGACGGAGTCTCACTCTGTCGCCCAGGCTGGAGTGCAGAGGGGCGATCTCAGCTCACTGCAAGCTCCACCACCCGGGTTCATGCCATTCTCCTGCCTCAGCCTCCCGAGTAGGTGGGATTACAGGCGCCCACCACCACGCCCGGCTAAGTTTTTGTATTTTTAGTAGAGATGGGGTTTCACCATGTTAGTCAGGGTGGTCTTGATCTCCTGACCTTGTGAGACACTGCTCGGCCAGCATATATTATATTTCTATCACCTCGACAAGTTCAGTCATTCTGAGGTGAGTTTTTTGAGTTTAACACACTTCCGACCATAATGTGTTCATTGGAGTCTTTTGAGTTTCTTTCATTTATTGCTGAAAAGCCACTTGAAAGTGTGGTAAGAAGTGATCTTTGGTATATTAACCAAAAGATCTGGGTTTTCAGACTGGTTCCCTGGAACAGCATCAAGAAGTCATGGGGAGGGCCGTGTGAGTGGCAGCTCAGAGAGAGGAATGGGCCCTCTTCTTGGGTGCTAGGCAGAGCCCCTAATCTGAGGAGGCCCACTTAGTAGCTAGCTGATGGCTTTGACTCATGCCTTGGGGCAATTGTGCGGAAATCAGAGGTCTTCAAGGTTGAAGACTGCATGTGCATCCTATAGTGCTATTCTCAGATCAGAATCTGTTCCCTGGTTCACTTTGGAATGACCTATCCTACAGGCAAGCCCAGAGGGAAAATCTGCTCTGAGCTGGTGCCTGTTCAGGTCAAGAGCCTTTTTCTTGGCTCCCAGATGGAAGTCAGCTCTGCCTCAGACTTCCTTCCTCTTGAAATGGACTTGCTAATTACCACTCAAGGTGTTTTACTCTTTTAATGTACTGGGTATGGTGAGCTCCAAAGGGATTTCTCATTGCTTTGTAGGCTGGTGAATTCTGTAGCCAAAGCTATTTAAGGAATTGCCTTAATTATTTCCTTCTTCCCCTTTATTTTATGCTTTATTACAAGAGTGTTGCTGACAACGACTAGGGTTTGCTTTATTTTTCAGTGCATCTGGAACTGAGTGTTGTGGTGACTTAAATGCGTATGTGTTCATTTCTCCCCTCTATTCCCTCTCTGCTTTCTCACTCCCTAGGAAACCCAGGTTGACAAGAACTCAAAGTGCCTTTTCTCCAGTCTCCTTCAGCCCCCTGTTCACAGGTAAGGGTAATATCTTTCTGTCTTCTGACATCTGAAAACAGGGGTGTTCTGAGACCTGTTGGGAAACACTTGCAGATGTGTCACAGGGAACTGTAGGCGTGTCTGCAGTTATTTCCTTCATTCCATGCTTAGTGGGTTTGAGATGAGGCTATTTTTATGGTATGGAATGTGTTCTTGACTTTGGATGCTTTATAGTTGGAGGTAAAGGCTGCTTGTTGGTAATTGGGTGACCTGGGTGGCCCTAGCAGTTATGCAGTGCTTAGCTCAGGGTCATCACATATAAATTAAAACTAGGAATTACAAATTTATGGGCTTACAGTGCATAAAAGACTCTCTAGAAGTCATACAGTTTCTGTCTCTGCTTCCAAGGGAGTTCATGGGTTATCTCATAAAAATGATCCATGATTATCTGGTCTATTTTTGAAGACTTTTTTAGGCAGAGGGGATTACATGAGCTCTTGTCTTTTTAGGGGCTTGCAGTTCCTGCAGCTGTTAGAGTTCTTTATTGTATCTAATTTAAGTCTGCCCTCTTGCAGCAGGGAACACAGTTGCTAAACTAGGAAGACTGTAGAATCTCCTTTGGATGATGGGTAACTGCCTTCTCATTTCGTAGGGAGCTTTTTCAGAGATGGAGACCTTCTATTATGTCAGTCACATGTGAAGCTCCTGCATGAATAAGCTGTAGAAAAGTGGGGCTTTGCCACACTGCCTGTGTCTCAGAAACTGAGTACTTCTCATTGGTTGTGACTGAGAAGCCTTTAAAAAAAAATCTCAATCTCAAACTCCTTTGGATATAATGTCCCTCAAAAAGGTGATTGGAGGACATATGATTTGGGAATGGATGCTTCCAGGAAAATGTTAAGCAGGCCAATGAGACCTGCAGCTGGGTAGACTGCTGTGAACTGTCAAAACAAGTGAATTGGTACCTGTATAGACATCTACTGTAGTGGAGAAGGAGGTCTCTGTTCTTATCCAAGCCCAGAATTTAAAAATCTTATGTTGTGATAGCATGTCTTTCTAGTTAATAGTTGTTTCCTCCTTAAAGTAAGGAACATGGCTGGTCGCGGTCACAGTGGCTTAGGCTTGTAATCCCAGCACTTTGGGAGGTTGAAGTGAGTGGATCACCTGAGGTCAGGAGTTTCAGACCAGCCTGGCTAACATGGTGTGAAACCCCATCTCTACTAAAAATACAAAAAATTAGCTGAGCATGGTGCCACATACCTTGTAGTCCAGCTACTCGGGAGGCTGAGGCAGGAGAATCGCTTGAACCTGAGAGGCTGAGGTTGCAGTGAGCAGAGATTTTGCCACTGCACTCCAGCCTGAGTGATAGAGTGAGACTCCGTCTGAAAAAAAAAGGAACACTACCTACATTTGTGGTTTGAGGTTCAGGTCAGCCTCAGCCCTCTGGAATGACATCCTTTATGTTAAGTGCCCTACCAACAGTCTGGACTGCTCTGGCCTGTCAGGAAACACGCTTGCCTGGCCCCATTGCATTGCTCTGGGCAGCCAGCCTCTCAATTACCAAGCTGTGTGGTGAGTCTGGTACCAGTTTTCTAGAACTTCCACTGATGAGTTTTGTTTGTTTATTTTTGACACAGGGCCTCGTTTTGTCTCCCAGGCTGGAGTGCAGTGGTGCAGTCTCAGCTTACTGCAGCCTCAACTTCCTAGACCCAAATGATCCTCCCTCCTCAGCCTCCAGAATAGCTGGGACTACAGGCATGCACCACCATACCTGACTAATTTTTTTATTTTTGTGGAGATGGGGTCTTACGATGTTGCCCAGGCTGGTCTTGAACTCCTGAGTGCAAGTGATTCGCCTACCTTGGCCTCCCAAAGTGTTGGAATTACAGGCGTGAGCCACTGCACCGGGTCTCACTGATGACTTTTAGAAGAGCTTTTCTGTTTATCTTAATTAATATTCAAGACCTTTGTAAAAAAAACTGTGTATTTAGGTTCTGAAAATCCAGTTTCTGTCCTTTTGGTAAATATTGGTCACCTCATTTTCTTAATGGGGAAACATTAAAATACTAGCCGAGGGACTCATTCAGCCCTGAATAAAAAAAAGGTGTTGGAAGGAACACCCTAAGAGCTAAATTAGAGAAATTCTGAGTTCTGACCTGTGGATCAGGCCTGCCAAAATAACCCTATTCCTGGCTATCAGCTTGTGTTAATATTAATAAAATACCCTTCATCCTCTCATGACTCAAGTGGAGAGGGAATAGACAGAGTTGGGTGGCAGGGAGTCTTATATATGGCAGGGAACAGAACTGCATGACATGCTGGGAAGAAGAGAGGCCATGTGCCTCCTCCCACCAACTTCCTATGGAGAAGCTGCCTCTTAGATTACTTGACTTTTGTCTGACTGTGAAAGTAGTTAATTTTTAGGAATATAAATTGTACTTTCGGCCTTTGTAGCCTCAGCTATTAAGAACAGATATCTTATTCAGGTAGATTCTCTTATGCATGAATACTCTGGAAAATTAAGATATGGACTGCCCTCTAGGAAGAAGTTAGGACTAACATTGGGAACTTTGTCTGTATTCCACTTACCGTGCAGTTCTTAGGTTTTCTGGCCCTTGCTTTCCATGTCTATTTGGGCATATAACAAGCCACTTGGCTTGCTTCCTAAGGCAGAAATTGATACACAGTTCTGAAAAAATAAATGGTATGGGTTCCATTGGATAAAGAAGACCTTTTGTTTGAGGGTACGTTGTAAGTCAGTGACGGAATCAGAATTAGATGGTTTTCCACTGTCAGTCCTATGGTTTTGTCCTTAACAGGGCCAAGGTTTAATGATAGAATTTAAAAATTGACTTCCTGGTGTTGGGGTGATTTCAGCCCTCGGGGCATTAGGTTTTGAGCTTTCTGAGAGCAGCAGACTCCCAGCCTCGCCTGCTTGCCCTTTGCTTCCCTTTGCTTTCTGTGTCAGCTTTGAGCAAGGCGCTTCTGTAACTTGCTTGCTCCATGAATCCCTCAGGTGAAACTGTGTCGCTTGTGGATGTGGACATTTCTCAGCGGGGCCTGACCTCTCCACACCCTCCAACTCCCCCTCCTCCTCCAAGAAGAAGCCTCAGCCTCCTAGGTATAGTTTCTTCCCCTCTCCTCCTTCTTGCCTAGTGGGAGGGTGAGCTCCAGGGACTTGTTCTTTGCTGGGGGCCAACCACGCTTCTGTGTTTCCGATGATGACTTAATTATTTCCTAGCTCTTTCTCAATACCCCGTCATCTCCCTAAGCAATTAAATGGGTCTCACCTGCATGCTGTAATACTGTGCATATATTAATTCGATTTACATTTATCTTGCCTTGAACCCACTGCTATTGGGCTGCATTAGGAATATCCTTACTACCCTGCTTTCCAAAAGCAAACCAGAGTAAGGTGATTGTTGCCCTCTGTCCAAAAAGACTGGGTGAAGGTTGGGCCATCCTGCCCCAGAGGGCAGCCTGATAGTCCTTCTCCCTCTCCTCTGCCTTCACCGTGCTCATTCTGTGCTCACATTTCTGAACCTCTTGCTTTTGTTCTCTCTTCTAGATGATATCAGTGGGACGCTGCCTACATCTGTCCTTGTGGCTCCGATGGGGTCTTCCTTGCAGTCTTTCCCCCTACCTCCGCCTCCTCCACCCCATGCCCCAGGTTAGCTTAGTTTAGAGGCAAGACTTGTAAGAGTTGGGAGTACAGAGTGATACTTTGTACCATAGAAGGATGGGAGAAATCTATTTATGGAAATAATAGCTTAGTAGAAAGTTTAACTCTTTTCCCCTTGGCTGTACCAGACTCCTTGGAAATGAGGCCGAGAACTGGTTTTCCTAACCCGTTTTCTTTATGGAGGTCAATCTGATTTTTGTTAGGGATAAAAGACTACTGAATTTTTCATCTCTTTGCTGCTGAGACTGTTTTGCAATCCTTGAGTAGATATCACTTAAGAAACTGCCTTAATTTCAGGATAGTGAGGTTTAATATGTTGCTGGTTTTCAAGGTTCTGTGGTTATTCTAAGCTTTTAGTATTTACTGCAGCCTTGTAAATAAGTACCAAGCATTCAGTAGCCCACACCTGCATTGCCAGCTACCAGTACCCAAGGAATAAAATGAATGAAATCAGCTTTGTTTTCTACTTGCCTGGCAAAATCATTACTCTTCCTGGGCAAGTAAGCGAGTCACTATTTCCAAGGCTGCCTTATCGGCACTTCACTTCGAGGTGGGAGAAGTTGGAATCGCTCTAGGCTGGTGAAGCCCCTGAAGTAGTCACCTTAGTCAGGTTAGTGAGCAGCTCCCCTCCCCTTTCCTGGGGTTAACTGCCCCCACCCATCCTTCACAGCTTACACAAGGCCACACAGCTTTTTGTTCCAGCCCATCCAGCTCTTTCCCACTGCTTTGGCTTCTACCCTTTCCAGCTTAGCTTCTAATGCCTTGCCCTCTTCAGTTAGCATTTCTGTTTTTGGGGGAGGGTCTATTTGTGGTTGGGAGCAGTGAGGGTAAACAAGTGACCACCACTCTCTTGCCCTGCAGATGCATTTCCCCGGATTGCTCCCATCCGAGCAGCTGAATCCCTGCACAGCCAACCCCCACAGCACCTCCAGTGTCCTCTCTATCGGCCTGACTCGAGCAGCTTTGCAGCCAGCCTTCGAGAGTTGGAGAAGGTAGGTGGTACCTAAGGACTGACGGATCACTTCTCCCATTAGCTAAATTCTGTACCTGGGCACACCTTTATTTATTTGTTTATTTATTTTTAGAGACAGGGTCTTGTTCTGTTGCCCAGGCTAGGGGGTGGTGGCGTAATCATAGCTCACTATAGCCTCGAACTCCTGGGCCAAAGGATCCTTCTGCCTCAGCCTCCCAAGTAGCTAGGACTACAGGCACGCACGACCAAGCCCAGCTAAAATTTATTTATATTTTTTGTAGAGATTGGTCTTGCTTTTTCCCAGGCTGGTCTTGAACTCCTAGGCTCAACGTGATCCTCTTGCCTCTGCCTCCCAAAACTCTAGGATTATAGGCATGAGCCACCATACTCAGCCCCTATTTATTGTTTTTAGAGGAAGAATAGTTTACTTTCTTCCATATTTACAGTGACAAAAGCAGTGTGCTACTGCTGTTAATTCCATGAGATATAATACAATTGAATTTGGGGAAAAAATTTTGGACCTGATAAAGGTTGTTGGAGAAATGTTTACAGTCTAAGCTGATTTTGATTGATTAACGGACCCAATTCCCTCTTCTTTTCTTGGTAGGGTCTTTGGTAACATAATTGTAGAATTATTATTCTTTTTTGTTGTTTTTTTTTTGTTGTTGTTGTTGTTGTCTTGTTTTGTTTTTGGGACTGAGTTTCACTCTTGTCGCCCAGGCTGGAGTGCAATGGTGTGATCTTGGCTTACTGCAACCTCTGCCTCCTGGGTTCAAGCAATTCTCCTGCCTCAGCCTCCCAGGTAGCTGGGATTACAGACGCCCACCACCATGCCCAACTAATTACTGTATTTTTAGTAGAGATGGGGTTTCACCATGTTGGCCAGGCTTGTCTCGAACTCCTGACCTCAGGTGAGCCATCTGCCTTGGCCTCCCAAAGTGCTGGGATTACAGGTGTAAACCACTGCACCCAGCCTTTTTTTTTTTTTTTTGGGAGTGCAGTGCGGTGGTACAATCCCAGCTCACTGCAACCTCCGCCTCCCAGGTTCAAGCGAGTCTTCTGCCTCAGCCTCCTGAATAGCTGGGATTACTGGCATGTGCCACCAAACCCAGCTAATTTTTGTATTTTTGGTAGAGATGGGGTTTCACCATGTGGGCCAGGCTGGTCTCGAACTCCTGACCTCAAGTGATCCGTCCACCTCAGCCTTCCAAAGTGTTGGAATTACAGGCATGAGCCACAGCTCACGGCCAGAATTATTATTCTGTTACTTTGGAGGGCTAAAAGTATAGTGAGCGTGATGTTCATTGCTAATGGTTGAGACCCTTGTAAGTGGCTTTTACCTATTAAAATGTTTTGGAGAGAATGCAGAGGGTTCTCCCATGTTAAGACAGATTGTGCTGAAAACTTTGACATTTCTCTGTCCTGATAACTAGTGGACTGCTTCTTGTCTTTGATAGTGTGGTTGGTATTGGGGGCCAATGAATTGGGAAGATGCAGAGATGAAGCTGAAAGGGAAACCAGATGGTTCTTTCCTGGTACGAGACAGTTCTGATCCTCGTTACATCCTGAGCCTCAGTTTCCGATCGCAGGGTATCACCCACCACACTAGAATGGAGCACTACAGAGGTAAGAGATGCTGATAAGAGAGCCTTCTTCCCCCACTTGCTTTGCTCTGCCCTTGCTGTCTGACTTTTTTGTGGAAGAGATTCATGGGAATGGAACTACGAATAGGGGAAAAATTATCTTAGACTCAGTTGAATATTGATATGGGCACTTGTTTCAGTCACTAGAAGAAATGGAGGGGGTAGGGAAGGGAGAGTAAGGGTCCCATTTAAAAGTCTTGTCAGCAGCATCTTGTCTCCTAAATAGGAGGGCCTGAACAAAGCTGTTGGAGAGGCTGCCAAGAACTGAGCCAGTAAAACTCTTTAGGTAAAAGGAAAAAAGAACCTAGGACCATTAGGCAAATTCTCACAAGCTTTGTTTGGAATTAAACTTATCATCTAGAGATACTTTGTTAAATCACATATACAAAGAGGAGAATTTAGTGTTGATCCTGTAACTGTTCTGTTCTGAATTTCTTTTTTTTTTTTTTTTTTTGAGACGGAGTCTCGCTCTGTTGCCTAGGCTGGAGTGCAGTGGTACAATCTCAGCTCACTGCAACCTCCGCCTCCTGGGTTCAAGTGATTCTTCTGCCTCAGCCTCCCATGTAGCTGGGATTACAGGCCTGTGCCACCACACTTGGCTAATTTTTGTATTTTTAGTAGAAACAGGGTTTTACCATGTTGGCCAGGCTGGTCTCGAACTCCTGACCTCAGGTGATCCACCTGCCTTGGCCTCCCAAAGGGCTGGGATTACAGGCATGTCTGAATTTCTTTGTCTGATAGTCCCTTTCTCCCAGGCAGCATGGTGATAATTTCCTCTTTTTGTCAGTGTTGTAGTCTCTTAGGAAATACTCATTAAAATGCTAAGAGTTTGTGAGATCAACATGCTTTAGACTATCTGCCATCCTCCTAGTGGTACCTCTTCCTTTGTGATCAGGTGGTACTTCATGTGCCAGTCATACCTAAAAGCCGACTTGTTAAACACAGCTCTCTGGATTGACTTGGTATCGAGACATTCTGTATTTAACTTGGGCCAGAAACTTGTGATGGTCATTGGTTCTGAGGCTGGGTGATACATCCTTTGTCAAAATACCTGTGTATGATACAAACTTAAAAAGCATAGAGCTCTTTGGGGTGTTTCAGGGATTTGTTTCCCATCCCTCACAATCTTCCCATGGTGGTCAACCTTAAATGAATGCTCTGAGACATTGCATCTGAGGTAAGAGCCTCTGTCCTGCCTCTTCTCAGGCACCACAGCATCTTCCCCATTCTCAGCCCATACTGCCTGGTTCTCTTGTAAGGCAGGAAGTAGCTGTTTAGGTCAGCATAGCTTTGTCCATGGTTTCCTCTGTACCCACTTCTACCTTAGAGATAACATGAAGAGAAAGGAACTTTAATTCAATGACCTGGAAATGAACTAAGTGGGGTAGGTGAGGGGGACTGCCTGCTGTTCTGCTGTTTGTAAAAATTAAAATACACAAGCAAAAAACAAAACATGAAGCAAAGCTTTTCAGAGTGAAGTATTTTGTTAAACCTATTCAAATGACTAGGCCATGGGAATTATAAATAAATTCTTGACCTTTAAGTTTTTGATAGGTAAGATGCCAGGAATGAGAGGTCTTTCAAATGGTTCTCTGATTCCTTTTTTTTTTTTGAGATGGAATCTCACTTTATCACCCAGGCTGGAGTACAGTAGCACAGTCTCGGCTTATTGCAGCCTCCGCCTCCTGGGTTCAAGCAATTTCTTTTTTTTTTTTGAGACAGAGTCTCGCTGTCGCCAGACTGGATGGAGTGCAGTGGCATGATCTCGGCTCACTGCACCCTCCACCTCCCGGGTTCAAGCAATTCTCCTGCCTCAGCCTCCTATGTAGCTGGGATTACAGGCGGCTGCCACTACGCCCAGCTGATTTTTTATATTTTTAATAGAGACTGGGTTTCACCATGTTGGTCAGGCTGGTCTTGAACTCCTGACCTCGTGATTTGCCTGCCTTGGCCTCCCAAAGTGGTGGGATTACAGGAGTGAGCCACCATGCCTGGCCGGGTTCAAGCAATTCTTGTACCTCAACCTCCCAAGTAGCTGGGATTACAGGTGTGCACTACCACGACCAGCTAATTTTTATATTTTTAGTAGAGACAGGATTTCGCCTTGTTGGCCAGGCTGATCTCGACTGCTAGCCTCACGTGATCTGCCTGCCTCGGCTTCCCAGAGTGCTGGGATGACACGTGTGAGCCACTGCACCTGGCCACCAGTTACTTTTTGTTAAAGGGACTTTGCTTCCTTGAATAAGTGGAATTTCTTTTTTTTGAGACGGGGTCTCACCCTGCTGCCCAAATTGGAAGTTGGAGTGTAGTGGTGAGATCACTCCTTATCGTAGCCTCAACCTCCCAGGTTCAAGTGATCCTCCTATCTCAACCTTGCTAGTAGGTGGGACTAGAGGTATGCATCATCATGCCCAGCTAATTAAAAAATAATATTTTTTTAGTAGAGACACCGTCTCACTGTGTTGCCCAGGCTGGTCTTGAACTCCTGGACTGGAGCAATTCTACTGCCTTGGCCTCCCAAAGAGCTGGGATTATAGACATAAGCCACAGTGCCTGGCCTATAACTGGAATTTTTTTTTTTTTTTTTTTTGAG